TTTGGCGAGTTTCGTAGGAAGTTTAGATTCCTAATTTTCCTCATCTATCGCCTTCGTTCTCCACATCCTTTAATTTGCCCATCGAGATCCAGAGAATAGCGTTTGGTAAGCTTATGGTTGTGGCGGGGTTCATGGACCAGTTTCAGGCCTCACCGTCTCACCCAAAGAAACAAGGCCTTTTGTGGCATATCCAGCTAGCTCATCGTGCAGAGGGAACCAATTGCTTTACGGAAAACAGCAAACTCCATCCACTGTTTCGAGGACTCAATGGGCTAAATCCTTGCTCAAGAATTAGCGGTTAAGAGAATTTTCGGGATGCGAAGCCGGCACCTCTGATGTTTGAAGTCGATCTATCAATACTGTACTGTAATTACAAAGTAAAAGGGTCGATAGACCTCCTTTTACCTCATCTCTGCATCGAATGGGGAACTTATACCCAAAGCAGATCATTCTTTACATGGTACTGCCATTGAACCTTCATTATGCAGGGAAGGCAAAATTGTTGTATGCTGTTAAACCACCGTTCCTTACCTTTTGTTTTAATTTTTGTCTTCGTGCGTTAAGCACAGGTTAATGTTTTCAGAAGTGGATTCTCCTTTCTCACGCCACAAAATTGGTCTGACAAGAAAGGCGATTTTCCTGTTTAATTGTAATTGTATGGTGCATTGTTAGATGTAATGGAATGTGATTCAACTCGTTTTTTCCCTGTTGCTTTTTCCGATCTATTGCTCCGGATAAGTTCCTCATAAATTACGATTTCCATGAGTTAAAATCGAGATAGCCTTTTACAGTTTCGTTGATATAGAAGCCGCCAAATGTCTGCACAATACTGCCAGCATACTCTATGTTGTGATGAGTGGCGTAGAAATGCAGCCTTAGCATTTACAGAATAATGCATGAGAATAGCTTACACAGAGTCGACATTCAATAGCGCGATAGTCTGAATGGCGCATAACTCCTACTGACTTATTATCCTCAAAGGATATATTTATTTTGTTCACAAATCCCCTTGGGTAAAGAATTTACCCCACCTTGCTTAAGACCTGGGTTGCTCAGTCGGCAGAGATTCGATTTCAGAACAGACAGGTCCTGAGTAATAGCCACGTTCAGTCACTAGCATTTCTTTCTTCCCAGGTTCTGGGATTCTGCCTTTTAAAAACGGAATCATGAGTGATGGCATGGAAAAGTGGATCGGCACTGCACTGTGAAAAGCAGGGCACCGGAATGGTCCGGTAGTGAAAGTGTGATGAAGACCGTTATTATAATGGTTATAAACATTCCGTGTTTCCTTTTCCTCTCTGACTAGATTTCAACTAAACAGACACTCAGTTGTGATTCATATTGATATGGCGGGATGAAGACTCCGATTGACAATACGCATGCCAACATTTAGCATATGCACAATTAACACTAGTCGACATATCGCAATTGTATATCTGATATAAGCACAATACATAGAGCATAACTCTTCCAAAGCCAAATTTCACAGCATGTTGCACTGCCTCCTTGCTCATAATTGCTTACACGGCCATTTACACAGGTCAGTAACGTTGCGGCACGCCGTTAAAGCTTATTTTGAGGAGTTATGGGCGATCAACGTAGTACGACCTAAAAACAATATTTTTTTCAATATTTTTAAAATGTACTTTTGCATTTTATGCTTATTTTAATCGGCTGTCCGGTAGATCACAGGAATTGCAACAATAAGGTACGTGCATTAGATAGCAAGGCCGTGTGTCTTGTCCGCCTTGACATGACAACACTGAAGCACAATGCTACGTTTATTGTTGACATTTTAACGACCCGCTGCCCATGCTTTGGCTGGTTGTATTGAAGGACAGTTGGCTGCATTCATTGCTCAAGGGAATTAGCTGTTACTAATAGAAATTTCACGTGCAAGGTAATCCATTAACCATTGCGTCACTGTTCCCACATATATTTAGGTTATGCGGTAGGCCGGCTCCTGAAACGTCATTCATTATTAACGCGAGGTGGTTCCATCGAACACAGAATGACGGGTGATGCATGTGGTACTGCAGGTGCGGAAATACCATGGAGACAAAGTCCGTTCAAATCGATGCCTCAGGCAAATATGAGTTAGAGGACCGGGCTATTGTTGCTGTCATCGTCAACTGGAGTATTAGGATCAAGCACAGAGTACATAAATTAATAATGCCTTCGTAATACGTTGTTAAATCAGGATTTGGAAGAGCTATATGCCTATTGATAATCTCCGGCTTGCAAACAACATTTCAGTGTTATGTGGTGGTTAGAACAGACAAGCGGTTGTCCTATATACATGTGGGCAATAATACTTCACACTTCAACTCGTCGGGTAGTCAACAGGCAAACCAGTGAATGCCATAATGGACATTTGTGAAACGCGGTTTTTCAGGTGGTTTCTTATTAGAT